AATGGTTCAGAACGGATTAACCTTATTTACACTGAACCTTATGGGAAAATTTGATTCGGTTGGCGACCAATTCAGCTCACGACCAGAATCATGGAACAAATTAAGTTCGTGAACCGAGGTACCACTGTATTCCCAAATATATGAGAGTACAGTATGAACCATAAGGATTTACAGGAATAAACAATACATGAATTAAAATACAAGAAAGGATAAAGCAATTTAGTACGCCATTTTTATGATGCAAAATATGTAATTTGGACTTAAAGGAATACTGAACATTTTCATTGCTTATTTTAACAAATGAATGCAATTGTAATTATTTTCTTCCATCCTTTCTGAACAGGAAGACATAGTTGTGATCCCCCAATCTTTTGATGACCAAATCTCTTGTGTGTGCTTTTTTTAAAAAAAAAACTTTTTAATATGACTGTTGTTTGACATGATTATTGTTTTATACTTTTTTTGCTGTATGCACCCAGAGACACTTCTTGTGAGATGGGCAGCCATATAAATTTGATAAATAAATAAATAATACTGTATTTACAAGGCAGCTCAAAATCAATTCATATGACAATTAGGCACAGTTATTTAACAACATACTGGACAAAACTAGTACAGCACAGATACTCTTACAAGATTAAATCAGCAGTAATCCTTCATCAAACATTCTTAATGAACCAAAAGGGGGTGCCAAAACTGTTTTTGTTCCTATCAGTAACTTTCCACCTAGCTGCATGAAATAGCTAAGATGGTGTTCAGTCTTTTAGCTTTCCTAGAACAAAAGCGCCATTTTGCTCCCAGAATTAGTAGACAATTAGATAATTGTCGTTGTGACTTCTATGCATTCTACCCGAAATTAGTAACTTGACAAGGGCCTGAGGATAGGAGGAAAGAAAACAACCACCTACAAACAGAGCAAGAAAGCAAACAAAGAACAAAGCAATCTAAGGAATTTAATCTTGGATGTGTGAAGTCAAATAAGTGGCCTAATTTGAAATAAGACCAGTCCAGGAACTGGCCACTAGGTGAAAATTGCGCAGCAAACATGATTTACTTTGTCAAGCAACGACCAGTGAGGCACAGCTGAGATAGAAAGGTGAAAAGCTTTCACCTTTTAGATAGAAAGCTAAAAAGAAGGATTGGACAGGAAATTGGTGAGGAAAAAACAAATATATATGCAAAATCTGAAGCTGCAATTCATCTCCTCCTCCCTCAGACTCCTTGATTACTTGCTTGGTAAGTAATCCTTTTGGTGGCAAAAGGAAGACTATTTGACTATAAGTGAGATATGATAGTTATGTAATATCAAATACACAAATCTGAATTTGTAGTTCATGACAACTTAAGGAAATATATCATTCTCATCAGCACATAAAAACAGTTAAACAGCAATAAACCACACGAAGTCCCTCCCTGTTCTCAAACTTATGTCTCAAGCTATCTTTAGAGACCGTTTAGTGCTGGAGAGAAAAAATGCTAACTGCTTAATCTTATTAATTTTGGAATGAGGCTATCAACCATTTTGGGCTTTTTAGAGAGAAGGTAAGACATGTATAATAATTATTATTTATTAAAATTGCTACATTCTTCCTTTTTGAACCGAGTCAACATTTCATAAAAATAGAATATTAATCAACTTGCTGCAGTGTAATATAGCTCTACTGCCCCAGAGGGCAGGATCAAAACCAATAGTTAAAACTACAAGGAAGGAGGTTCAGGCTTAGACATTGGAAGAACATCCTGATTGTATGAGCTGCCAGCCAGTGGAACAGGCTATCATGTGCCATGGTGAGTTCTTCTCCACAAGAGATCTTCAAACAGAGGCTGGATTTCACATGTCAGAAGTGCTCCAGTGGATCCTGCACTGAACTCAGGATTGGACTAGATGACCGCTATAGACTCTTCCACTCTATGATTCTACTGGGTTATTGTTGCTTTTAGTCAAGCAAGCATGTCTATGAACTAGCATTGTTACCTGACTGCCTTGGAATGCCTGTATATGTTGTATTCTTTAAAAAAAAATGATTAAACCTACTTTGCACATAATTCAGGGCAGTGTACATCATCAATAACAGTAAAAATCAGTAGGGACTACATAATAAAATAAAATGTTAAAAATCACAATGCAAAATAACAACATAGATACACATAAGTTACCCAGCAGGTCACCCACTCCCACACTCAACATCTGGGGAAAAAACCCAGATGTTTAAAAGCAGGCAAGCTAACTGACTATTGGGGTAGGAGATGCTATATGTTGTAATTCTTGCAAGCCAAGAAGTTTCAGTAAATCAATTAGCAAAAAACCTTACTCCTGACTGTAGTGTCTTTTGTTTAGTGGAAAAGAAACAAGAGTTATGAGGAAGATGGGATCATAAAAAAAGAAAAAGAAAAACTTTCAAGCCTCACCTTATTTCTGAAGGAGAAGGACCAGTAAAAGCTAAAATCAAAAATGAAGAAACAGGAAAGGAATTAAGCAGAACCAGTTGTGATATATAAAGACAAATAGGAAAAGAGCACAGCAGGATGAATGTGTTTATTGTTCCACAGATGACTGGGTGTTAGCCACAAAAAGACTTAAACAATTATTTGAGGTAAATGAGATGCTGAAAAAAAATGCCTGTTTTCCTGAATGCTTTGGGAGACAAAGGATATAACCTATTAAGAAGATTAACTGCCCTACAAAAGTCCTTGCAATTCAGCTTTGCAGAATTAGTAAAAATAATGGAGGAGCATTTGGCACCAAAGCAATTATTGATTGGAGAGCAAGTTTCATTAGTGCAAGAAGAAAGAGGGAGGGTCCACTACAGCTTAACCAGCTGAACTTAAAGATGCCTAAACAATGAAAATTGGGTGAAAAACTAAATGATGTACTGAGAGATTAGCTAGTCTGTGGAATTAGAGAGGAAACATTCAAAAGAGACTCTTAACATAGGCAAATGTATCATTTATGAGAGCATTTGAAATTGCTATCTTCATGAAAATTCCTGCTAGCAAAAGTATAGTATACAGCTATAGTCAAAAGTAAAAGCAAGTGTGATTAAGCTTGCACACAAACAGAAAGTAATAAGTCAAAATGAACTGTGTATTGTTGTGACAGAGGTTCACACACACTACCTTTTAAAGAAGAAACCTGCAGAAAACACAGTTAAGGTGAGACATATTCAAAGAGCCTGCAGCTCAAGGATTTGCAAAAGATAAGTAACCCAACCATTACTTTAAAAAGGAGTGCAATGGTGTATGCTATAGATGAAGACTCTAATAATGAAATTGAAACAGGGATAGCTATCCTGGAAATCTAAAACGTAAAACATGAAATAAGATTAGCAGTATATATATACCAGTATACCAGAAATAAATGGCAAAACCGTATCAATGCAACTGGATACTAGTTCTGCTAAACCAGTTACACTATAATGCACATTTCAGTACCATTTCAAAGATGCTGAACTAAATCTACCAGAAATACAATTAAAAACTTACACTGGGAAAAGATTACTCCCAGTGGAGTGATACATTTAACTGTAAAATACAATAAT